CTGGCTCCAGTGGGTTTGTCATCAACCCAGGAAGGCCTCTGCTGTGCAATAAAAGAGCACACCTGCACCTCTCCGAAAGGGAGAGCACTGAAAGCTCGGGGATGTGTCTCCCAGAGATTCCCACCTCCCCTTTCAGGGATTAACTCCACACTTCACCCTGCAGTCTGAGAAGTGGCCTTTGATGTCTGCCCCAGGCAGGGCCAGGAGCTGCACATGACATGAAGGCAGGTTATTGCTCTGAAGCTGTCCCAGACATCCATAAAGATCCTCTCTTATGGAGATTCCAACATCCAAGGCCATCCACGGGCACATGGGCAAAACCTCCCCACTGAGCAGAGAGCTCCTCTCGGAACACTCGGGGAAAAAAATGATGCCCTTTATTTCCCACTGGCAAACTAAAACCATGGAGGAAAGCTGTTTAATATAAAAACATCTGACAAAGCACCTCCAGGATGTATTTTTTCGCATCAAAGAAGTAGCTCTTGGCAACAGGCTCGTTCCTGAGACCAGGAGAAGTTTTAGCCAAACCCTGATTGTTCTAGGCTGCACAGGGTTAGACAGGCCAGCAAACTTACAGTTAAATAGGAAAGAAAAAAAGAAACTAAAACCATCACTGGCCCAAATAAACATCTGTCTGTGATTAAACTGGATGCACAGAGATGTTCTGCCTGCTTTTTAATGGATTTGTTTCTGCAGGGCTGGGGTGGGGGGGAGAAGAAAGGATGAAAAGGCTCCCGGGTGCTGCTGGGTCAGACCCAACCTGCAGCTCCCAGCCCAGAGTGGGACACAGAGTCAAGCCTCAAAAAGTAACAAAACAAGCATTTCCCCCCCCAGAAGAAATTGGTACCCTATTAATGAGAAAAATATCATATTTTTTTCTCCTCCCAGGTAGTTCCAGCACCTCTCCCCAGGCCGGAAAGGGCGATGTTTGCCCAGTTGCCACACGTATCCGCCTGACATATTTAACAGGCTTTTTTTTTTCCCCTACTCTCGACACACAGGATCTTCATAAATTTCCTTGGTAGCATAAATCCTGCAGCCTGTTATTTCTTGGGGCGGGGGGGGGAGAGGAAGAGAGATGTTCACTTTCTCCACTCAGTGGGTTTTAAAATATGCTTCCTTAAGTTCATCCTAAATATTGCTGGAAGCAGAAAAAACCCTCTGGCCCTCGCTTAGAGCTGTGGCATCACTTCAGCAGGGCTGAGTCACCAGCTGGGATGGACAGGCATGCTCCTGCCTCCTTCCTCCCTCTGGAGGTACCCCTGCTTCCCAAATCCAAGCCCCTCAGTCCCACCACTGCCCTGTAAAATCTCCTCCATCTTCTCAGGCCTTGGGAGAAAAAAAAAAAAAAATCAGAAATAATTTCAATAAGCTCCAGCCCATTCAGTCTCTTTGTTTACAATTCACTTAAGAGTTGGACTCAATGATCCTTGTGGGTCCCTTCCAACTCAGAATATTCTGTAACTTGATTTCTTCTCTCTGTTAATTCCCAATTATCCTCCACCAGCATCAGACTAAGCCATCAAGCAGAGCTCGTTGCCACATCATCCTCTGGACCTCAGCAGAGCTGCTGGGAATAGACTCAACCTGTGCTTCCACTTCCAGGTGGGAAACGACTTCCCACAGCTCTGGAGTGTGGAAAGAATTCATCCTTCCTCCAACAAACCAACTCACCACTTCTTCTTTTGGATGCACATTGTCAGCTATGAATGGGTTCATCAGCAGAGCTTTAGCACACAGGAAATGAAATGGTTTCAACGTTTAGGAAAAAATAATAGTATTTCTGGAAAAAATAAACCTGCACCTTCTCTGGTGATGGCCAAGGCAGGACAGAGACCTGCAGGAGGATCCTGAGCTGGAAGACCACCTTCTGCTGTCCTACCTCTGCTCAACCCCTCCCCTCCTGCACAGTCCTTGGGACCTCCAGAATTCAATGCCACCACTACCAAGAACTCTGCTGGCTGCTCACAGGAATTCCTGAGGCTTTTCCAGGCACACACCACGCTGTGCAAGAGCAGAGGGGCCATTCCATGGTGTTTGAGAGAGGGGTCCTTCCCAAGGATGGTGAGGGATAGCCCCGTGGCACTGAGGGGAAGGCAGGCAATCCCAAAGCCCTCAACATCTGCTCCAGCACGTCCCCACCATCCCAAACCAGTTCCCGCAGCAGCACAGCCCTCTACAAGCCTGGCAAGTCTAACGGGTACAGCAGCTTCTTGGCATGTGCTGGAGGAGCCAAGTCTGAGGGGAAGGGGAAAAAAAAAAAATTACTACAAATGTTCCACCAATTATGAGTCACAAGGCTGAGCTTTTGTTCCTGCCTTGCTGGATTTTGCCCTTTCCCTGGTATTTCCCCAGCTCCGGCCGGGAGCTGCGGGGACACCAAAACAGGTCATGGCTCTGCCGGCTCCTGGGGGACAGGGAACCACCTGGGTTTGGAATACAACTCCCAAAACAGCAGGTTTGCTTCAGCTCTGCTCCCCAGGCAGAAATAAATCTGATGAGGGAAAGCTGGAGCCCCTCTTTGTACCCTCACGAGCCTGAACGTGACGCTGCTGGAGCTCAGGAGACGGAAACTTGGGGGTCAAATGTCCCCAAGTGCCTTTTCCCAGCAACCCAGATCTTCCCAAGCCATGGCACCTCACTGAGGAAACAGGAGCATCCCTAATCCAAGGGAAATGCTGTGGCTGGACACTGATCCTCGAACAGACAACTTCATTTCATGACCCACATGCTGTGAACCTCAGATGAAGAGGGCTCTGGGGTATCATCCACAGATCCAGGTCACCACACAGGTCACATCCACCCACAACCTGTGCTTCCAGTTAGCACTGGCTGTTCCTCAGAATTTTAGAGCAAGCCTGCTAGTTCACTGAAGACTTTTCCTCTTAAAAGTGTTATTACAACCATGAAAGGTTCTACTTCAAAAAGAGTTTGTTTTTTTATAAAGTTTCAACATATGACAGAGATCATCTCTTGCCTTCATGCTAAAACTTCCTGTTTAGAAGTTCATCAAGTAAAGGACCAACAGAAGAAGAATGGCTCCCTTTGTTATCCAAAATTGAATTTTGTGGTTTTTAGTAGGAAAAGCCTTTTTGATGATCAAAGCTGGAGCAATAAATAGTAGTGGCTTGATGCAAGATCCAAAATGTACTTATTTTTGGAAGAGGAGTTAAATGCACACCGAGCTCCTTCGGTACACAAGAGGAGGCAGGGAAGACCACGTGCTTTGTGTACCATTTCCACAGACCTACACTTCAAGCAGAGCTATTAAATAAGTTGAAATGGAGAATAAACAAACTGAAACGTGGCAGGTAGACCGGAGCCTAAGTAGGCTTTTCCCTTTGACTTCCCTCTGATGACACGTACGGGTTAATTCAGCAGAGCTCTTATCCTCTTTCAGCAATCGTGAGCACTGGGGAAAAATAAATCACCCAGCCCCAGACTCTTATTAAAAGTTACACCACTGGAAACGGCACAGGGGGAGCAGAGGGATCCGATTTCATACAATCTCAGTCACATGTTATCATTATATTGTTCAAGGAAAACTTAAAATCCCTCTTCCATTCCAGAAAACCCACCAGATGTCCCATAAAGAGAAAAGCTAAGCCACTCCATCCTCAGGAACCCCCCCGTTTTCCAACTCGGTCGCTCTAATTAATGACAATTATCACGTTCCAATAAAAGCCACGGGCACGGGGAGCTTTAGGGACGCGCTTCCAGCCCCGGGAATGTTTGTTAGGAATTGCAAGCACACACATCTATTACAGCACAGGCCTGAACGATCCAAGGGCTGGCTATCAATTGTTCCCCTGCTATGGACACTTGGCAGCACAACAAAAGGCGGGCGGGCGGCACGGCTGGATCCGGCACGCGGCAGCACCGCCGGCCCACCACGGCTGCAGGACCTTAAAGGAGAAGGGGAAGGGAAAACCCCCCGAGGGGAATGTGCCACCACGCCACGGCACCGCTGCTGGAATGCTCTCTGGAGAGCAGCAGGGTCGGGATCGGCCTAAATGTCCCAGGGAAGGCGCAGGTGTCAACAAAGCGTCCATAAGCTCTTGCAGGTGGAGAAGACCACGAGAAAAGCCACAACTAAGGGACCAGTGTCCCAGTGATCCCCTCCACCACCACCAACTTACAGCATCCCCAGAGAGAGCAGCAAATTCAATCCATGGGCTTGGCAACCCGGCACTGAGGTGCCCAATCCTATCCCATCACTGAAGGAGGCACGTGGGGCCCCACCAGGACCAAGGTTTGTCTACCTTCATCTCAGCTCTCAGACCATTAACCAAACAAAGAAATTAAACCTTGCCCTATAGACAGGCCTGTCCCTGTCCCCTGCACTGTCATCCCCCAGCCTGGGATGAGACACCAAGGAGAAAAACGTGGAACCACCGCTGCAGCCAGAGCCCACTGCCGAGGCAACTCTACGTGCTGTCACGTAAAACCACCCCAGGCCTCACAGAGCACCAGCAAATGAATGAAAGGTTGCAGGGGCGTGGCAGAGCAAAAACCGGGACCTAATTAAGCCAAGCTTTGTTCAGGAGCTTCAATGGCACCGTAGCTGGGAGCCTGCTCATGAAAGCAGGGATTGCACCGCGGGGCCAGGGCCCAACAGGTAACACAAGCCCGACGGACTCGGCAAGAACCACCACGAGGCAGCATCGTTTGGAACGGCCTCCCTGCTCCTGCCATGGAAATGGGGAGGGTGTACAGCCCCACCCCACAGCCCTGGAGCTTGGGAGAGGTCCAGGTGGCTTCCACAGGGGACAAGCGTGGCCACTTCCCAAACGTCCCCGCTCGCCCCACGAACAGCATTTTATCACAACCCGCGGAGCGCTGGCGTCTCTGAGCAACCAACTCCAGTAACTGCTCTCCCTCCCTTCCACACCGAGAACACAAACCCACAGCAGGACCACATCCCCCACGCCCTCCTGCTGCCCCACCCCAGCCCCCAGCTCAGACCACGCGGGCGGGAAGGTGCAAACATCTCTGCCAACCTGAGAAATCTCCGGGCGTGACGTTGGGCGAGTTTGTAGCCTCTGTTTCAGTGTAAGACAACGTGGAATCTGATAGATCTGGGGGAAAAAAAAACAACAAAAAAGGCACTTTTAGTCCTCCTGTGTTTGCCAGGGCTACGTGAGCACCAGTGGCTCTCCAGCTTCCCACCACCTCCCCGAGAGGAACTCTCCACCTGGCCAGAAAGCAACAATTAACTTTGTAGCTCCACCACGCAAATGCAAAGTCTGAATTGCCTCGACCACAAAAATAACTCCAGTTAAGTTGATCAAACAAGTAGGAACTTGGTGCTTACTGGATAAAGTTACATTAAGCCTCTAAACAAGTCAGAGTTACTATACTTAATTATCACCATTAAAATTCTTGAAGCTGTTTATTCTTGCTTCCTTCCTTCCTTCCTCTTTGCTGAAGCGAAGGAAACTTTGTTTTAACAAGTTAAGAGTCTTTGTTATTCTCTCTTGCTTACACCCCTCTAATTAAGTGCTCAACTGTTTGCTCACAGATTAACTATTATTTTTCCAATCAAACTAGCCAGTGAAGCAAATTTCAATCCCTGGCTGTTGTTTTTAATAAAGTCACGTGTTGCTCACTATCATCTCTCCCTGCAGCACAAGCAGTTTCCAAAGGGAATTAACTTGGAAGGGGGAGCGCAGGGAGGGACAACTCCTCTTTTTTTTTTTTTTTTCCTCTTTCCTACCTCCACACCTAACAAAAATAAAAACCCCACAAGCAGCCAGTTTGGCTTTGCAGGACAGCCAGGTCACAGCCCTGTGGTGATGAAGGCGCCGGTCCCTCTGACAGGCACTGGGTGCCCACGTGGCTGCACCACAGGGAGATGCCAGGGCAGGGACTCAGCTCTGGCACAGGACAGCTCCCACCTTCCCTCGGGGCTGGGTGGGACAGGCAGGAACACCGTCCCCTTCCCATCACCCTGCCAAGCCCTGTCTGCCTCCTCCCTCGTGGGGAGCAAGAGTGGCTCTGGCTCACCTTGGTCACTACACCCAGAACTCAGAGGCACCGGCCACAGATGAAGGGAGAAATCCCACAGCTGCACTGATCCCATCAAAACACCCACATGGGATTCCTCCCTTCTTTCCCACGTCTTTGCTTCCCATTTAACTGAGCAAGACACGCAGGATGCAGTGATGCCAACTTGAAACATCTCCAAACCAACATGCAGGACCAGGATCCAAGGCTGTCAGGCTCTCCAGCACCCTTCCCTCTGTGCCCAGGTACCCATCCCAGCCACTTTCACTACTTTTTCTTTGAAAACATTCCATAATTCACCAGGAAAAGTCATACCCCACTCAGAAATTACACAGTGCCGAGTTTCAAAGACTCTACATCTCACTGCAATGAGCAGAGGAAAGGTAAGAGCCGGTTCCTCCAAGGTGCAGAGCAGCCAGGGCTTTATGGAAATGGCACCCAGGAGCTCCCACTCCCCCTCTGCTCCATCATCCCACAGATTACACACGCAGACAAAACATGACGTCTGGCAACCTTTCATTACGCCTTCATTAAAAATAGAGCTTCATATTATTTTGGAAAATATGCATGTGTCTACATGGTAATTTGGGAGGACAAACTGACATCCATTTACTTCTTAAAGCCTGTCAGGTGATGCTTGCTCAGAAATAATGAGGAGCCATAAAACCCCAACTTGTTGGCTTTTGCCAGCGAGGGCTGCCTCAAAACCAACACCAGGACTGCACCATGAAAGAGTTCCCGGGACATCAAAAGAGGGAAAACACGTACCCAGTGGCTTTTGCTCATCATTAGGAGACAGCCGAGAGTAGGGAGGTGGTGGAGACTCTGGAAAAACAAAACTGTAGGTTAGTGCTGTGCTCGGGTTATCAACAAACACTCCCGCTTTCTCTTCTGGGGTAGGAACTCTCCCAAGGTTAAAAAAAAAAAACAAACACTTGGGAGCAACTGGAGACCAAGAGTTTTCCCAGTTTTTGAGGAATGGGGGTTCCACCTTGACCATTCAAAGTGGGCTTTACTACTGAAAACGCTGCAAGTCTCCCTTACACCCCCGTCCCATATCCATGCCTGGACACCCAGTTTGAACCACACAAACCATAACGTTGCTTCCCAAAGAACAAGGTTTCCATCATCTGCCTTGGGAGACGACCTTCCAACCGTGACTGCAACACACATGGACTTAACAAGAGCTCCTCAAACACACAAGTACTGAAAGAGGGTGTTGGGCCACAGACGCTCCCCTCTTGGCCCCTGAAGGCTGCCACCAGAGCCAGGCTGGCTTCAGCCAACAAGCCACCAAATTCTGGTCCCTCCCAACAAAGCCCCGGGCACAGGAGTGGCTCAGCAGCAGATCCATGATCCTGCTCACCCCCAGCTCCACCTCGCAAAGCTCCTGAGCACACGCTCGGCTTTAGGCAGCAGGACTGCAGCAGTCATGTGCTCCGAGTTCAGCGAGTCCTCAGAAGTGCTTTGCTGAATCAGGTCATTCAACTGGCTCCTGCTGTCCTTGTAAGGGTCAAGACCATGCAAAAGGCTGAAGAAGGCCCTGCATTACTCCGTGTCCTGATTGGAGGGTTTTTTTTTTTTCCTTTGCACAATATGACAGTGATGTGTTTCTTGAACTATAATTTGCCAAAACTGAGTGTGCAGCCAGCTGGGCTAAGCCATGGCACCAGCATTGATTGAGCAGGCACCCACTTCAGTGAGAAACTACTGAAAATCAACGGCATCACATTGACCCCAACCTACCAAAACACGAGTGTGCTCCTCAGCTCCCACCCTGACCTGAAAGCACTCGGCCAACAACTGCAGCTCAGCCTGGGTGACTTCAAAGAGAACCTCAGCATTCCCCACGTGATGGCTTTGGGGTCATCTACTGCTTGTAAGAAATAATTCCCCCCATCTCCCCCAAGGGAGCAGGATGCTCCTCTCCCAGGGTGCTCAGGAGTCTCAAAGCAAAAAATAATGGTGCCACAGCCCCCACGTGGATGTAACCACCCAACCTATCCCGTGCTGGTCCCACACCAGAGCCAGAGCCAGAGCCACGGGTGCCTTCACACCCCTCAGCTACATCACCCCATAGTAAACTGGGTGGGAAACACGAACACGGATGATCCCTGCAGGCAGCCACTTGTGGAAAAGGGCACCAGGGCCTTTTCTTGGCTCCTGCCACCAGCGCCCAGCCGGCGCGGGTGGGGCCTGGCACAGTCACCCATTATCAGGGTGATAAGGGGGCACTCGATAACAGCTCTGCTTTCTACTACTCCCAGCACAGGGCTGGCAGCCCTGTGGGAAAACAACCACGGCTGCAGCAAAGGGACTGGGAAACTTCGCTCGTTTCTAAAATAAACGCCCCGTTCCTGCAAACGCAACTCCAACTGGAGTAAAAAAGCTGCCTCCAGCCTCTAGCGACCTTCGGGGGAAGCACGCCCAGCAGAGAAGTTTCTTTGAAAGAAGTGATGCAAAGCACAAAGCGAGGCGGGAGCCCAGACTGCACAATAAGAAAGAAAATCCAAGTTCTTGCTGAAAAAAAAGGGACCATCAGCATCAGAGCGGTTTGGGTTGGAAGGGGACTTAAAGATGATCTCGTCCGACCCCTCGCCATGGGCAGGGACAACTTCCACTAGCCCAGGTTGCTCCAAGCCCCATCCAACCTGGCCTTGGACACTTCCAGGGATCCAAGGGCAGCCACGGCTTCTCTGGGCAACCTGTGCCAGGGCCTCACCACCCTCAGAGGGAAGACTTTCTTCCTAAGATCCCACCTAATCCTACCCTCTGTCACCATGAATCCAACTGCCCAGTTTTGTCGCAGAGGTTTTGTCCAGCCCTCTAAGTATCATTTCGATTTCTCCACCTCAAACACGAGCACGCCTCTGCTCCATTTAACCGCTCCCAGCTCACATGGAAACACGATCGTGCGCTGCTCAGAGAAACACAAAACCCTCAAGGAAACCAAACGCGCTCCTTGAAAACGCTCCCGATCTGCCTACGCTAAAAAAAAACCGAGAAACCCCCGAGAAATGGAGGAGCCCCGGTTCCCCCGCGGGTTGGGGGATCCCCGCGGCGGGGGCATCCCCGCAGCCCCCCCGAGGCGCCCGGCGGGTCCTGCGGCTTTAAGCCGGCGGCGGTGACCGCCCGGCTCCGATACGGGCGAGCCAGGCTGGCGCCAGCGGGATGGAGCCGCCGATTATCGCCCCTCCGGCTCCCAGAGCGCTGGGAAACTCCGCGGGAAGGGGAAAAAAAAAAAAGGAAATAAAGAGAAAAAGAGCTTTCTACGCACAACTGGAAGCGCTGGCGGCAGGGGAGCGGGGGATGCCCGGCGGGGACCCCGCGCCAGGCGCGTCTCTCCCGCGGGCATCCCGCGGGGCCGGGGCAGCGCTGCCCCACGAGGGTTCAGGTTAGCCCAGGAAGGGGCCAGAAGCCGCGAACCCCCAAATCGGCGGGTGTTTTCCGGGGGTAAACCCAACTGGCCGCTGCTCACCTGGCCCACAGAGGCGGCTGAAGTGGTAGGGGTTGCAGCAGACGGTGGGTCCGTCGGCGACGCCGAAGCTCTGGCACTCGCAGAGGGGTTTCAGCTCGGCGGGGTGCTGCAGGTCGGGCCAGCGGAACAGCTTGCCCAGGAGGAGGTGCGGGGGCGCCGCCAGGCCCCCCAGGCGCACCTCGGTGCGGGCCACCAGGACGCAGCCTCCGGGCATCCCCCCGCGGGACTCCACCGCCTCCAGCAGGCTGTCCAGCGAGCGCTCCTTCAGCCGCTTCAGCAGCGAGTAGGTGACGGCCTTCAGCTCCTGCTCCAGCAGCAGCAGCCGCGCCCGCGCCTCCCGGCCCCGCCGCTCCGGGGAGCCGCCGTCGGCCGCGCCGTCGGGGCCGGAGGGGGCGGCGGCGGCGGCGGGGGTCGGCTGGGGGCCGCCCGGCTCTCGCTCCGAGAACAGGCAGCAGGTCACGGTCCGGCCGTCGCTCTCCGAGGCCCCGGCGGGGTTGCGGAGCCGGGCCCCGCGCCGCTCCGCCATGGGGTCCCCGCGCGGCGCCGCCTCGGCCCGCTCCTCCGCCTCCCGCAGCAGCAGCGAGCGCGCTACCGAGGGGCTCCTCTCGGCGATCTTGCAGCTCCCGCCGGCTCCGAGGTCGTGGTGGCCCGAGCTCCTGGCGCTCCCATCTCCGCCGTCCCTGTCCGGAATGACGCGGCTCCTCCAAAGTCGCCGCACCAGCCCTGAGCGTTTGGACCTGAACATACGACCCGCGGGCGGCCGGGGGGTCGCGTCGCTCTCCGCCGCTTCCCCCCGCCCCGCGCCCTCCTCCGCGGGGCTCCTCGCTCCGCCGCCGGCTCTATCTCATGGCAGCCCCGGCGCAGCCCGGAGTCCCCGCGGCGCTGCCCAGCGGCTCTCGGAGCGCACCATGGGGGGGGCGGCGGGCGGCGCGGGCATAGACGGCGCCGCGGGGCCGCTCCCGTGGCGGCGCTGGGGCTCGGGCGCGCCGCGCCTGCCCTACATCGGCTGCCAACGCCGCGCCGGGCGGGGAGCGGCGGCGGCCGGGGGGAGCCCGGGGACACCCTGCGGCCGCTCCACCGTACGAGCCGGGGGAAAGGGGAGGGGGTGGTGGTGGGTGCCGCCCGGCGCCGGGGTTCCCCCTTCAGCCGAAAATAGTTAAAAATACGTAGTTAAAAATTTTAAAAAATTTTTAAAAAAAGGAGTAAAAAGTAGGAAGAAAAAAAAAAGGGAAGGAAAATAGAAAATAAAGAAAATAGGAAGGAAAAATACTAAAAAAAAAAAAAATTAAAAAGAGTAAAAAATATGGTACAGAAATTTAAAAAAAATTGGTAAGGAAAATAGTAAAAAAAATTAGTAAAAAAACCAAAACCTGGCAAAAAATAACAGCAAAAAATAACAGCAAAAAAAATTTAAAAAGAAAAAAAAAAAAAGCAGGGAGGGTAGATAGAAAACACCCGAAGAAAATAAATCAGGCACGCGAAGAATCAGAACCAGCAGCAGCAGCAGCAGCAGCAGCAGCAGCAGCAGCAGAGCAGCGCGGTGTCAGCGCGTCCCTCGCCCGCATCGCAGGGCGCGGCCCCGGCGGCTCCGTGCGCGGCTCCCGGGGCCGCCGCCGCCCGCTCGCGCCCGCCCGCCCCTCGCCGGCTTTTGTGTGGCCGGGGCGCGCGCGCGGGGCCCCCTCGCGAGCGGCGCCGCCATTGGCTGCGCCCCATCATGTGCCAGTCTAGACGGCGCGGCGGCCCCGCGCGCCACCGGCCCCGCGAGCGCGCCCCGCCCCGGGGCCCCGCCGGCGACCCCGCCCCGCCTTAAAGGGCCCCGCCGGCGCCGCCCCGCGCGGCTCCCCGGGCCGCCTTCCCCGGCGCGGCCCCCGCGGGGGGAAGGCCACGCGGGGAAATGGGTCACGGCGCGGCGGGGGTTAACGGCGCTCGCGGATCTCCCACACTCCCCCCCAACGGCCACGGCCACGCCCCCCCGAGCGGCGCCTCGGCCGCCCTGCCGGGAGTTCAGGCCCGCCGCGCCCCCATTGGCCCGCGCCCGCGTGACGCGCGGAGACGACCACCGCCCATTGGTGGAGGCGCCGGGGAGGCCACGCCCCCTCCTCCCGCCCCGCGGTGCCCGTGAATGGAGCGGCGCGCGTGGGGTCCGCGGGACGGGACGGGACGGGATGGGGAGAGGGATAACGGGGGATAACGGGGGATAACGGGGACAGGAGGGCGGCCCCGCGGAGGGGGGAATCCCACCCCACGCTGCCGCGGCGAGAGGTGCCCGTGGCGAGCGCAGTATGAGCGTGGGAGCCCCCCTAAACATCCCCTGGTGGGACCCCCCCTAAACACCCCCCTGGTGGGACCCCCCCTAAACACTCCCCCGGTGGGACCCTGAAGTACAACAGACCCTCCCCTAAACACACACACACACCCCGCGGGTGGGACTCGCCTAAAAATCCCCCCCCCCGTGGGACCCTGAAGTGCAACACGCGTTCCCCTAAACCCCCTCCTCCCACGGTGGGACCCTCCCCTGAAAAGAACCCACCCCCCAAATACTTCCCCCAGCAAGCCCCTGCCAATATAAAATAAATTAAACACCCAAAACAGCGATTCCCACCCAGCCTGAGTGCTTCACTCATGAGCAAAAATCAACCTGGGCAATTAATTCTCCATCAGTTAAAGGAAAAAAACACCCCAAAACCAAACCAATAAAATCATTTCAACCAACAAGCCCTGGACAACCTGAAGGGTCAGGGGTTTTCTCCAGGAGTCTTTGAGTGGCTTTTTCCATACTTGAAGGCTTCTGCCTGAATTTCTCTCACATTCCCCCAAACCTGCCCTAATAGAAACTAAGAACCTAATTTAAATATGGATAAAACCAGTTTGTTTTTTTTTTAATGGAAAACTTAATCAGTGTAACATTAGGGATGCCCAAATACTCCACTTGGAATCAATGCTCTGTTTGCACCAACAGAATTGCAGTATGAAATAGGTCCTGTGACTTTGGGGTCACTTCTGCACCCTCTGACCTTTTAGGACCAGGGGCAAAGCTCCTTTTCCCTGCCATTTTTGGGAGGGGTCTGAGGAAAAGTGTGGTTAAAAATGTAAAAAAAATCACGTCAAACCTGTGAGGGACCTGCTGCCTCTGCTGCTGGGTTCCAAACTGCTCTGGCCAAGGGACTGATGGTCCATCCAGCATTATCTCCCTCCAATGGGCTCCTGCCTTGAGGAGGAAACAACTGTGAGTAGACTCAGGTGATGCTATTTTTGGGCACTGACCCACTTCATGTGGAAATCCTGTCCCGGGGGGGCTCAGACTCGCCCACATTTCACACCTGGACCAGGGTTTGGAGCCCCTGACAGAGGTCACCCAATATCCCACTGGGGTGGAAAAATGCCTTTTTTCATGGTGAGGAATAAAAACAAATGAAAAAACTGAAAAAAAAAATCAGCTTCAGAGATGGAAGCAGAAAGTGGGATTTCCTGGATCTCATGGAATCACAGAATGGTTTAGACTGGAAGGGACCTTAAAGCCCATCTCATTCCACCCCCTGCCGTGGGCTGGGAGACCTTCCACTAGCCCAGGTTGCTCCAAGCTCCATCCAACCTGCCTTGGACACTTCCAGGGATGGCTCTTGGACCCAGACAGGATCCCTGCCCACCCTGAGGCTGCTCCAGAGACGTTCCAACCCTTGTTTAAAATCCACATTGATCTCCCTGTCCTGCCTGACCCCAGGATTCACCTCCCTAAACGCAGCTGATGCTTTTCTTCCCAACGCTGTCTTCACAAATCTGTCATCCAAATTATAAGATGCCACCGATGCGCAATTGCCAACATTTAAATATATATAAATCTTAAATATAGCGCTGCTTAAACCGAGGACAGGGTATTATTTCAGCAAGCAACGTCCCACTGCTCACCCAACGCTCTGTAATCATGGATGTGCTCTATGGCAGGAGGAACAATGGAGCTTTCATGGGATCTGGAGCAGCCCAGCATCTCCAGGGGCACAGGTATGTGATGGAGTCCCCATTCCACCAGGAGTGCCATCCATCCCGGCTCCTGCAACAACAGCACATTGTTCCCTGCTCTAATGTGGGCGAGGCAAACAGAGCCCTCAATTGTGCTTGTCACAATGCACATATAATTTATAGTAATGTTGGTTATTAAAGGATTTCTAGTGATTAACAGCAATGTGCTCTTTCACTGCCTTTCCCCCCACCCCCCTCTCTTTTTTTTTTTTTTTTTCCCCCCTGTCTGTCATAATAACAAACATTCCTGGGAGATGCTCTGGAACACATCCTATAGGTCTTGGCAGAAAAGCTGGAGAGAAGCTTTTGAAAGCCTACCAGTCTTATCTGACATGGATCTCCCAGGTACTGTAGGAAGCCAAATGATCCTGGGTCCAGGAGGACTGTGGGTGGTCAGGAGGGCACTGGAGCCTCTTCCCAAAGCCAAACTGCAGCCAGGATTGGGGGGAAAAGGGACCAGCCCTGCCATTGTGTCCCCACCAGCACCCTCAGCACCATCAGCAGAGCCCAGACCTGTAGGCACAGGCTGGGGATGCTCCAGGTTTTCAGGAAGGAAAATCAATTCCATCATTTTCTGCCTTTTTTTTTTTTAATCTCTAGTATTTTGCATATTTCTGGGCAAAAAGAAGGATGCAGGGCTTAAAACATAAAATTAAATCGCCAATAAATGAAATGTAATATTTTCACAGAATGAATAATTGCCACTTAAATAACGTTGTAACAGCTTGATTTATAGGTTATTTTAATGCCTCGAAAATGGGGCTCAATGCCAAGGGCTGGGGGAGGTTGGGGGGACACAAACTGCACCCCCATTTCACTGCCAGGGAACAGGAGCCCAACCAGAGACACCACCACGAAACCGCTGTGCCAGAACTGCCAAAAACTGAAACACCTCGTCAAACCAGGCTGGCTTTGCTGGCAGCTGATTTTGAAAGGAACCAGGGGGGAAAAAAAAAGAAGTTTTGACAACATCAGAATGTCCCCATTTCCTTTGTTTTGATGACATTGCCACGATTTTCCAGTTCAGACCGACCCTGCTTTTTACTCTTGCAACTGTAACACTCTGAGCAGTAACAGGCTGTGATGGGACCTTAGACCCTCTTCAAAATGGAAAAAAGTGAAAATCAGAACAGGGTGTTTCGATAAATCCACCGTTTAAAAAAAAAAAATAATAATAAAAAAATGTTTGAAGCATTTTCCTCCACAGAGAATTTCCCAGCTGCTGGACCCCACATTCTCAGACCTCCCTGGCTTCTTGAAACCTTTCCTGCAGAGGGTGGGACCTCACCCAGCACCTCGGCAGTGCCCCCATCCAGGGTGAGCTGCAGCCACGGCAAAGCCCATCCCAGTGGATGCAGCCACTCTGGGATGCAATCTCTCCTGGGATGTGGAGTCATAAAACAGTTTGGGCTGGGAAGGGACCTTTGAAGTTATAGAGTCCCACCCCCTGCCATGGGCAGGGACACCTTCCACCAGCCCAGGTTGCTCCAAGCCCCGTCCAACCTGGCCTTGGACACTTCCAGGGATCCAGGGGCAGCCACAGCTTCTCTGCCCAACCTGTGCCAGGGCCTGCCCACCCTCCCAGGGAACAATTCCTTCCCAATATCCCATCTAATTCTGCCATTCCCTGTGTCCTGTCCCTCCATGCCTTGTCTCCAGTCCCTCTCCAGCTCTCCTGGAGCCCCTTTAGGTCCTGGAAGGGGCTCTCAGGTCTCCCTGGATCCTTTCCTTCTCCAGGTGAAACCCCCAGCTCTCCCAGCCTGGCTCCAGAGCAGAGGTGCAGCATCACACCCACTCCCAGACCTGCTTGGGGCATCCCTGACCTGTGACAGCACCACGGCCACCGTGGCATGGGCAGCTGCTGGCAGGGCTGGGAGCACCCCCGTGGTTCTGCCCGCATTCCCAGCGGGAGCAGAGCTGCACAATCTCCTCCCAGAGAACCTGGGACACCTCTTGCCTCGCCAGGAGATGCCCATTTTGGTGCATTCAAATCCCAGCCCAGTGATTACTTTTGCCCTGGCACTTTTCCTCCAGGTGGGATCAAGGTTTCTCCATGCAGTGATCCCATCCAAATCCCACCAGATCCGGTGGCACCACGGCAGGTGCTGCATCTGCTGCCCAAGGACCTCGGGGGTGAATTGAGGCCCCAGCAGCCAAATTGCTCAGGGATGAGCTGAAATGAAGTATCCTCCAAAACTGATCAGAACCAGGAAGGAGGAAAAAAAAAGAGACAAAATCCAACAGAAATTCGCCAAATGCCACATTTCACCAGGAATTAATGTTAATGGGTTAATGGGAACTCCACAAGGCAGGAGCTGCTGAGTTTCCAGGCTTTTCAAGGCCCTTCCCACGAGTATCTGCTGTGGGTGGGGACAAGCTGACTCACAGTTTCCAGGGCTGTAGTAACATTTCAACACCCCGGCGCTCCAGCCTTGGGGACTGATGGCAAAGAGCACGTTCCCAGCAGAGGGGTTGGGAAGTTTTTGTGGCAAATGTTTCCTTGGGTCAGAAAATGTCAGTTTGGCAAAACCAAAACTGGTTTGGTTGTTGGTTTTGGTTTGGTTTGTTTCTTTTTTTTTTTT